GAACTCTCCAAATGATGTCAAGCCCCCCCGATAACAGCACTTCCTTTGGGCATCGTTCCTGGATGGGCTGGTGTGGGTACGCGAGGCATTAAGAATTCAAACTCGATCTTGCCACTGTACTGCAGAAGCACGGAGGCGGGGTTTGCCGCAGCAGGCAGCTGGACGGAACATCGTCACCCCAGGCGGTGTGGACAGAGCGCGCCCACCACTGAGTTCATATAGTATGAGTGTGCGCGTCGCCCCTGGCGCCGGCCCTCCTGTGGTGCGAGCGTGCTCGGGTGATGCCGACCCTGGGCCCCCCTCTGGGCCTCGTGCGGCGTGGCCCCCCCCCCCCCCCCCCCCCCAGGGGCCCCTCTCCGTTGCAGAGGCCGCAGCTTGCCGTCGCTCGGACGTCCACTTCCCGTGCATATGTCGGCATCGTGCTGTTTTTTGTTGCTCGATGGTCCACGATGGTCCTCGATGGTTCTCGCCGAGAAAAAGTGCACACGTCCGAGCGATGCCAAGGCAGGCGGCGGCGCGGTCCCTTCCACCGGAAGATGAACAGCACGGCCTGGCTGCCCCTGGTGCTGCCCGCCGGCTCCCGCAGGCAGGGGCCACGGGCGCGCGAACGCGCACCCCACAGCCGACGCCGGCCCCTGGTGTCTGGGTGCGCGGGATGTGTTCGCTGCCCCGTCCCGGGGGAAGGGAGGGGGGGGACTGGAAAGGAGTGGCGGGGGCGAGGGACGAGGACGGGAGGGGGGACTAGGAGGGGGGACGACCCTGTCCTGGGAGGGCGACGGACGAGGACGGGAGGGGGGGACTGGAAAGGAGTGGCCAAGTCGCGAATCGAAACGAATTCGGACGGAGACAAGAAAACTCGCTCAGATGACGAAGAGAAAGAGAGAGACCCGAGAGAGGCCCAAAACGGCCCCAAGAGCGCCCATTAGCGCCCCAAAAGGCGCCTTCTGGGGCTCCCCCGGGGGGGGGGGCGAGTTAGGGACCCCCTCTTCTTTGATCGATGTTCTCCAAGATGGCCCCGAGAGCGCTCTTAAGGCTCCCAACGAGCACCCTAGGATGGCTCCGAGAAGCGCCGAGTCGGCCCCAAGAGGCGCCAGGCTTGCCTCCAAGAGACTCAAAAAAAAGTCCCCAAGAGGCTGCAAGAGGATCTTCGAAGCACCGAAAACACTCAAAGACGGCCCTGGGCTAGCCAAGATGCCCTTGTTCCTCCTCCTCCTCCTCCTCGTCCACTGTCTCTTCCTCCTTCCTCCTTCCTCCTCTTCGCCCTACTCCTCCTTTCCCTCCTGTTTCTCCTCCACCATCCTCCCCCTTCTCGGGGTATCGGACGGCCTCCGCCACCCCATCTTCTTCTGCATGTTCCCCCACTTCCCTGATCACCTCAACTCCCCTGGGCATCGTTCCTGGACGGGCTGCTGGGGTTACTTTTTTCCTCGCGAGCGACGCGGCCAGCCGCGCGCCGTCAAATAACGTCAAAAGAGGAGCGCAAGCCCTGTAGTCGCAAGCGCGACGCGGAAATAAGGCAACACGGGTGGCGAAAACTACAACTCGGAAGCAGAGGCAGGCGAAAGCGAAGAGGCGGCCGAAGACGAGAACCGAAGAGCGGAAGAGCAAAGAGAAGAGAAAACAATCAACAAACTGCGAAAAGAGCGAGAAGAGCGGAAGAGCGAAGAAAGACAAGGCATAACGACAAAACGCAAACCGCAGCTCAAGCTCTGACCAAATACTGAAAGACCGACCCTTGACGAACAGCCAATCCTTGTTATAGAAATTGACGTGCCCAAACCAACGCACTCAGATGAAATGTCGCGGGAGGCGAGAGACCACGGAGTGACCACTGGCGGCGTAAACGCTGGCGTAGGGCACTTGCCGACAACCATCAATCAGGCCATCTCCGGGCCAAGCGTAGTCTAACCGCAAGGACGACACATTCCACGAGCCCCAGAAGGAGCAAGAGGGAGCGAGCCCGACTCAAGAGGCAGCGTGCAGATCCATAACTCGAAGAGCACCGAGTACCGAAGGTGACCAGCCCAGGCCCGCCGGGCGGGCAGCCTCAGGGCGATGGGGGATTGCATCGCCTGAGACCTGCAGCTCACTGGGGGGTTTAAGCTAACAGCGGCACGGATGGGCAGAAACCCGCGATTGCACCGCATGAGACTGCTCAGTGCACTGGTAGGGTGCAACTATCAGCCGCCGGAGTGTGGGAGCAGATGCTTTCGCCTGAGACATATTGGTGATCGGCCTGGGAGCGGCGAGCGGGGGGGTAGCCGACTGCCGCACTGCGCCAACAGCGGGGTGAACAAGTTCGCCATTGCACCGCATGCGAATGCCCGGTGCTCTGTTAGGGTGCAGTTAACAGCCGCAGAAAGGTGGGAAACAATGATTTCGCCTGAGACATACTGGAGATGGGACTGGGGGCGGCAAGCGGGGGGGAGCCGATTGCCGTCCACGACCAAGAGCGGGGTGGAGAGGCAGCTAACGCTGCAGGATGCTGGGTATGAACAATGGCTTCGCCAGGATGGTGTCGACGCTCTGCTGGGTTGCAGCTAACAGCCGCAAGAGTAGGGGAGATGGTTCACCTCGGTCGGAGTGCGAATAGCCGCAGTGCGAAGGGGATAGCTTCGCCTGCGGTGTGCTGATTCTCTGGTAGGGTGCAGCTGACAGCCGCGGAAGGCTTCGGACTTGCAACGTATGAGACTGCCCGGTGTACTGTTGGTCACCCGCAGCGTTCTGTGGAACCACAACACTGTGGGTCATGCTGTGGACCTTGTCCCGTCGAGCCATTCATCACATTGTCGACGCCGCTCGGTGGAACCGACGAGGAAGCGCCTCGGCAAGCGTGTGGCGACAACCCTGCCGTATCGTTGTGGAGCCGGTCTGGGTCCAAAAATGGGGCAGCGAGAAACTGCAAAGTGAAGCCGCGATGGCACTAGCAGAACGGAAGGCCACGGAAGGGCCCGATCCCTGGCCGCCTACAGCGAGTCGGGGAGGCGACAATCATTTAAGGGTGGATGTGCCGCAAGAGGAGCCCCGGGAAGGGACGGGCCATGAGCCCCAGCCTGGCACGTGCGAGGCGGTATTAGCACGTCGGTGGAGAGCGTGCGGCGGCAGGCTGGCCCACAGTCAGGTAGGCGGCGCCCGCTCGGCCACGGCTGTGCCAGCCGGCTGCTGGGCCTAGAGGAATACTCCGGCTGGGCAACCAATCGCGTCGTCCTGGAAGTCCGCTGTCCTGCTACGTTGAACGTCGCCCCGTCCGCGCAGCCCCTTGCCTTTACCCTTGTTGGGGGTGTCCGAGTGTGTGGCCCTCTCACGGACGCGTGCAGGTACTGTGTCCCGCCGAACTCCGAGCTGGAGGTCTGCGTCCATCGAGAAGGCGTTGTGCTTGAAACGTGCCCACTCGCGAAGGAAGCGGGAGCACGACTCAGGCTGCTGAAGTGAAGGATCGGCGCAAATCCTGTCTGTGTTTGGGAAGTACACGGTTGTCCACTGATGCCAGATAACGTTAAAGTAGGCGCCCAGGTCGTTTGGTAGTCGTTTCACGGTCTCTGCGGGGGTTTCCCCAGCATGTGGTTGGAGAGAGACACTGTCGAGGGGGGTCCAATAGACATACTGGTGGGTCACGGGGTCGCAGAGGTTGTGCCCGTCGTCCTGGTGGTGTCAGGAGTTGCGGTGTTCTGGTTGGTCCTCGGACCGTACGCTGGCATAGGAGGGCCAAGGAACATCCTCGGTGGCGCGCGACTGGGCGGATCTGCCCCACCGCTCGTCAGTTTCCCAATTGCCCACCTCGGACCATTGCGCCCAGTGGTTGCCGTAGGGGATGCTGCGGCCAGCCTCGTTATGCCGACGCGAGCGGCGCTCGCACCAGTCTTCATGCCAGTTATGTCCGCTTCTCGTGCCCGGAAGCGGGCGGGCGCTGGGTATGCTGGGGGAGCGCGGGGAACCCCGTCCGGGCGAGCGCGTGAGGTTCCTGTCGTCCGTCCAGGCGAACAAGTAGGGGTAGAGCTGCAAGACTGCCGGGGTCTGCAAACGTGCCCTGGTGGGGGTATTTTTTTGTCAGCGACCGCAGGCGAGAGCGCCAGCGGCGAGTCGAGTCAGAGCGGGCCGCGCAAAGACGAATTAACCTAAAACGGTGGGCCGGAACCCCACGCGGCACCTCGGCGGTCAGGCCGGCGAAAGGAGGGGTGCCAGGTGGGGATATTTTTTTGGTCGCGGCCGCGGGCGAAAGCGCACACAGCGTGTCGTCAATCCGGGGCGCGGGCCTACTCATTGACAACAGCAAACTAGAGCCGACAACCTAAACTGCCTAAGCGGACTAAGCGGCGCCTCGCGTGAGCTGCAAGCTGTGCTGAGTGTGGATGCCGAAGCCAGGAGCCGAGACCGCCCACACAGCGTCCTTGCAAGGGTAGCTGTGGCTGCCAGGGTGGCTGCACTGACAGGGGTGCACACAAGCAATACACTGCATAGAACGGACTGCCAGGGCGGCTGGCTGCCAGGGTCTGCAAGTTGCGATGTGAATTGCAGGCGAACGTCAGGAAATAAAGGATGCGCATGAATTGGCCTGGTGGGGATACTTTTTGGTCGGAAGGCTCGAAGGACAGATCCAGGGAGCGGGATTAACGGCTGGGGCACAGAGCGAGATAATTGGCTGCAGGGGCACGTAGGCCGCTGAAGCGAGTGCACATGCCAGGGACAAAGTGACCCTCATTGTGGAGACCATCGCAAGCCTCCCAGCGGATGGGGACGCAAGCGCGGCACCGGCGGCGGACGGATAGGAGAATTCGCCCTTACGGCGCCAAACTCCATCCGAACCACACACACCAAGAAAAGGCACGGAGCACGGACCGTACTGTAGCAACACGGAGAAGCGGCCTTGTCGGTACCAAACTCCGGCCAAGACACACGGAAGGCGAGGCAAGAGGGAACAGGAGAGTCGCAGCGGACGCCAAATGGGCACCCAACGACAGAGAAAGGGAAACGGCACAGAGGAGACCTCACTCGCGGTGACTCACTGTCGCAGATGTCGGGTCTGCCGCTCTTGAACGGGAGAGCGAAGGATACCCAGTCAGCGAATGCAACGTCACTTCCGCCTGTGTCCACTGCGTGCAACTTATCCGACGCCGAAGATCGGAGGCACAAAGTTGCAAGCGCTGGACGAGGCACCTGCACGAAGGGCCAGCCGGGTGAATAGCGATGACCTGCCAAAGGATGAACCACTTGTGCAGAAACACAGCCTGGTGGGGATACGCGAAGCGTTAACAATTCTTAGGCGCGCTCAGGTCTTGCGTCGTGTCTGTTCCTGATGCCCCGAGGGCGTAATTCGTTGTCCACGCTTCTCGCGAGTCCCAACATGGCACCGAGGGCCCACCACTGGGCCCTCTGTTGGAACACCCGCCCGCAAGGGCCCCCGGGCCTCTCGAGCGGTGCCCAAGAGGCACCCAGGAGAGGCGAAAGAGGGGGATCTCGAATGGGCCTCAGAAGCCCTTCATCAGAAGATGGTCCACGGGATCGCCAGCAGGCCCCCAAGAGGCACCCAAAAGGCTCGGTTGCAAGACGCCCCTGGGGAACCCCCAAG